TTATGGACTTATCGGACGACCCCGAGGGAAGCTACTTTGGAGACCCCTTTCGCCCTGGTTTACGGAGCTGAAGCCCGACTCCCGATCGAGGCTTGGATCCCGACCGATCGAGAAAGAACCTACAATGCCGAGGAGAATGAACATGCTATGGCAGTGGATCTCGATGGGCTCGAAGAAAAAAGAGAGCTAGCCGCTCGGCGTGTAGCCGAGTACCAGAAGCGTGTGAAGAGTTCGAAGGACGTTCGGGTCAACCCTCGTTATTTTCAGGTTGGAGATTATGTTCTACGACGAAGGGAGGCCAGTCAACCTTTGGAGGGCGGAAAGTTAGCTCAAAATTGGGAAGGGCCGTACATCATCAGTGCGGTTATACGCCCGGGTACATACCGACTGGAGACGACAACTGGGCGGGTAATCGAGGGGACTTGGAATTCCGAGCACCTCGTTATGTTTAGGCATTAAGCCTATTTTTTGTAACTTTTGACGAAGTGGGGGCTTGACCTGCGAGTAAGTCCCGGTCGTCGGTTGTAATTAAGCTTTATGATTGTAAATACTTGTTTACCGCCTGCGAGCGGGAAGTTTTTAATGTATATACGATCGGTGATTGCTCGACCGCTTGCATGCGGCGGCCCGGTCGGTTATTTTCTTTACCTTCAGTGCACGCAGATCAATTTATCTTCAAGCCACACCGACCAGGCGAATCTATCGACCGGTCAGATGCGCTCCACATCGGCGGACATTCGAGTCACGCCATTGATCGGGGAAGCCAGGAGCCCTCAGCATATCCCCGATCCGTCCAACTTCTGTCCACTATTGCACCCACTCGTGCCTCGAGGGCACAATAGTGTGGGGGCTGGGATAAATGAAGTGTTCATAGGCCCATATCGCTCGGCATATCCTGACCGTGGGGCTTACTTCTTTTCGGAAAATTCGTCAAGACCTGGAGACCGGGTAAACTTGGTCGGGTAGGTCAATATTATGACGAATCTACTTTCAAACTTGGTCGGGAGATCGGGTAAACTCGGTCGGGTTGGCCAATTTTACGACGAAACATCAGATGTGCGACCAAGCCATAAGGCCCTAAGGTCGGGTGTTAGCAGGGTCGAGTATTGCAAGACCGGGCCTGAAGGCCGGGCGGTCGAGCGATTGAGATCAGTGTGTGCTCGAAGACGAAAGGGATAAGTTGGACAAAAAAATTTTAATTTTATTAATCAGCAAAAGTGCCCGGTACAAATTCGGGACCGGGCTCCCGATCGGTGTCCCTTTACAAAAAAACAGAAGAAGCTTATCCCTACTTCTTCGCTTCCTGAGCTCCAGCAGCTTCCCGAGCTCCAGCAGCTTCCTTCTCGCTCGCGGCGGCCGCAGAAGACCCGCCTTGCTCAGTTGTCTTCTCTTTGGGGCTGAAGGGAGAAGGACCGGGATCAGCCAAGTCCGGGGGTAGCGTCGAGAGAACCAGCTGAAGGTCCTCCCCCTCGAGAGCTTGCTCCATCCGGGTACGAGCCCTCTCGAGCATCTTCCGTTGCCCGACCTTGAAGGCCCACCGCCCGAACGAGAGGATCAGATCCTCCCCGACCTTTGTTCCCCGGGCTGCTGTGAGGAAGGCTGAGCCCGAGTCGCTGTCTTTGAAGACCGCTTGCGCCAACTCGCTCGGGTTACCGAGCTGAGCCTTCAGCTGTTTGGCCTCCTCGATTGCCCGATGGGCAACCTTCTCCGCCAGGGCCCGGTCCTCGTCGCCCTTCTTTAAGGCCTTTTGAGCCTTCTCGAGCTCGGCTTGGAGCTCTTTAACCTCCAGAAGGCGACGGGCGGCCGTCTTCTTATGGTGGTCGGCTTCCTCGGCCAGCATGGCCCGACCCTGTAATATTTGGGCCGCTCGGGAGATCTGCAAAGACAAAGACAGTCGGGGTTAGCCCGGTCGAACACACTTGCAAAAAAAGATGAATAGCTGAAGAAGGCTTACCTCGGCCAGATCATAGCCGATCCTCTCGGCTACCTGTGTGGGGGTCATCTTCCCCAGATCTTCTTTGGCTCGCCCCGCATTGCCAATTCGGGCCAATATGGACGAAGCGTCCTTTTCTCGCCCGACCGAAGGGCTCGGGCTGCGTTGTTCGCGGCGGCGTTTCATACCGCCCACCTCCCTCACGCCCTGCTCGGGCACTTTCTCTTTTCCCCGGGCGACTTCCACCCGGGTGATCAGGACGCCGGAGGGCTCGACGATAAAGCCCTCGCCCGTCGTCACGGTCGAGGTACTTAGTGGTCGGGCCGAGGGAATCTCCTTTTCCCCGGCGGGCTTCGCCTTCGCCTTCTTCTTGCCACCAAGGGAGATCTTGGCGGGCGGGGGAAGGGGGGCCTCTTCATCACCGAATTCTGCCATAGCTGCAAACAAAGAGATCAAGTTAGTGTGATCGAGGCATAAAGTTAAGTCGGGAGGGTTAGCTCGAGTTAAAACCTTTCTTCGTTCGCCTCGACGGTTTGGCGACCGTCACGCCCATCGGCACGGGCAGGTATTTCTCCTGTAGCTCGTATGTAGGGGGCGGGAGTTTAGCCGCCTCGAGACTCTCAGCCGTTCGGAAGATTGTATACTCGTGCAGCTCGCTCGAGATCCGACTGACCGTCTCCCTGAGCGCTTGCGTCTCGTCCGGCACCACTTGTTTCCGAAAGTGGGTGCCCCAAGCGCGGTCAACCGGGAGAATCCAGGGGTCGTATTTGAGGGAGAAAATCCTATTCTTCCACCCCCTGTTGTTCCCGGGCAGGCCTCTGATTGCGCACATGTCGGCTCAGGACTGTAGCATCAAGAACCCGCCCCCGTAGCTGCCCGGGAGAACTTTGACTTGGTAGATGAAGTTGAACAGCTCCATCGTACAGGCGGCTTCATGCCGAGCGCATATCTGCGGAAAGCAGGCGATGATCCGGTGTACGTTGGGGCAAATCTGGGCCGGGACGACCCGGTAGTAGGCCAAGAAAGCGTTCAGGAGGGGGGTGAAGGGAATGGCGATCGGGGCCATCAGGGAGTCGTAATGCATCCCGATCCATTTGCCCCGATGCCGATCGATGACATTCCCTAACTTCCGGCTCGTGTCAAATTCCACCCGACCTACGAGCCTTTCGGCAATTCTAGCCGCCTCGCCTTTGGTTAATCGGCTCATTTGTTGTTCGACATTCTCGCTGTTCAAGAATTCGAACTCTGTTGCGGCTGGTGCGCTTGGCCCAGCTATGTCTTCCTCGGCCGGCTCGGGAGCAGGTTCCGGGTGGTCCCCAACCACCCGGATGGGCGTTTCCCTAACGCCTTCGGTCGGAGATCCTTGTCTCCCCGACGTGGTTCCTTCTTCTTCTTCTTCTTCGCCGGAGCTCCCCGATCCGCTTGAGCTAGAGCTCGACGACCCGGATGAGCTGGACGACGTGTCTTGTGCGGCGGCCTGCTCGGGGGCTGGCGCCGGTCGGTAGATAGCTTCGGGGGAGTAGGACATGATGTCCACCTCCTCGTCGCTGAGATGCTCGACCTCCTCGTCATAATCCGCGATCGAGGCATTCTGACTGTCAGAGTCCGTCATTTCGATCTACCTAAAGGTCGGTCGGGGTTAGTAGAGGACTTAGAATGTCCGGGACAGTTAGTTGACCTAGAAGTTCTACCTAAAATGGAAGCATAAAGAAAAGAGAAGGGTTGAGAACTTACCGAATGAGGGAACTTCGCGGATGAAAGCTTGAAAGTCCTTGCTCGACTGCCTTGCAAAGGTGCTCTGCTCGGGACTCTCTGAGGGTACCGATTGAAGCAAAAGAGTGAGGAAAGTTCAAATGAGAGCCTCAAGGGCCTATTTATAGGAGGGCATTTAGGCGGGAAAAGAGCCCACTTGCGTGACACGACTGGCGCTGACTCCGAGGCGACGGTTGCAGTCGCAGAGGCCGGCAGTGGCCGACACGTGGCGAGGAAGGGAATGACAGCTGGCAGGTCGGCTTGGTGGCTGACGGTTCGGCTTCTTCATCCCGTCCCGTTTTTTCCCGAGGGATCAAAAAGACCCGGGCTGGGGGGCTTTTGGTAGGGAATGTCCCGACCGACATAAGCTCCACCATGACCGACTTTGCCTTTGTCTTTTTCTTCTGATCTTTGCAGGTAGCAGGTCGGGCTTTTTCATGAAGACCCCGGTCGGGAACGGCCGGAAGTTGCCCGAACGCTGGTGTCGATCACCGAGCGGTAGCCCTTTGACGAGAGAGCTGGCGAAAGGACGCGAAAGGACGCGTGGCGGCTCTTCATGATGACAGACAGGGCACCCGGGAGGGTGACACGTGGTGGCTACGTGGAAGGCATGCCGAGCGGCCGGAATCCTGTCCCCGGCACGGCGGCTATAAATACCCACAGTAGCTACAGTGTAGGGGACTTTTGGACGATCGATAGGTTGTTGTTAGAGAATCCCGACCGCAGTCAGTCGGTACTCAGAGCAACCAAGTAGATTGTACTTAGGGCCTCTATTGTGATCAATAAAGTCATTTACTTGCTTTAATTGGTCTCGTGTTATTACATATTGCTTACGTATAATTAGCAGTATCATATATAAAAATGTACATAATAAAAAATATACATAATTGTATAAACAAATATACATAATCATGTCAGTTTCCTACCGCGCTTCTCAAAACGACATCGTTTTGGGAGGCGCGGGGCGCTGCCGTGGGGCAGGGTACAACGATTGCTCTCTTCCCATGTTGCTAAAAAGTCTACAGGAAACCATGTGAAGGGGGCTCCTTGTGCGCAGTGAGCACCGGTCTAGCCTCTGTGATTAATGTTTAGGGGGCCCTTAGGGTTGGGGTTCAGCCTTTTGAAAGAATGATTTGTCCCACGTAATCAGTAAGTTGGTAAGATGGTTAGAGTATTGGATGACTAAGCAAGAATGATTTGTCCCACGTCAAATATTAGTGGAAAAAAAAAAAGAAAAAAAAAAGAAAAACAGAAGTCTCTTTTGAGAAATCAAAAGTTGACTTCGCCATATAGCCGCCTTCGTTGGAAATATATCATTAGATCTTTTTGGATTGTTATCACTATTGATCCCTGTTTCAACCACTCCTTCAACCATCCAATAAATATAATACTTACTATTGCAGAATTGAAAGAAAGTTGTGAAGTATTTGATGGAAGGTAATAGTAGGGATGTTGATGCACCAGACGCCATGGAAATGTTTGGAGCTTATGCTCATATCTACGAGCACGCATTCAACTACGCAAATTCCATGGTCCTCGCCGCTGCAATTCAGCTAAATATCCCAGACATAATCCACCGCCATGGAAAACCAGTCACCATTCCGGAGCTTGTTTCTGCGCTCAAACTCCCTCCTCAAAGATCAAACGCCGTTTATCGCATCATGCGCCTCTTAACTCACAATGGCTTCTTTGATTCAACAAAGCTCAATGAAGAAGAAGATGGGTATGTTCTCACAGCTTCTTCAAAGTTGCTCCTCAAAACCCAAATCCCAGACCTATCCCCTTTCGCCCGACTCCTGGTTGACCCGGTCATGGTGGCGCCGTGGCAGCTTTTGGGAGACTGGTTTTCAAGAAATGACGAGTCAACTCCCTTCGAGGCGGCGCACGGTGCTCCCATTTGGGAGTTTTGCCACAAGGATTCCAGGTTTAACAACGTTTTCAATGAGGCAATGGCTAGCGATTCCCAGATGATAAGCTTAGTCGTGAAAGATTGTGGGCAAGTGTTTGAAGGGGTGGATACATTGGTAGACGTTGGAGGCGGCACCGGAACCATTGCTAAGTTCATCTTGGAGGCGTTTCCGAGGTTGAAATGCACGGTGTTTGATCTCCCTCACGTTGTTGCAGATCAACCCCAGTCCCAAAACCTGCGATTCCTCGGAGGGAACATGTTTCACTCCATTCCTTCTGCTGATGCCATCATGTTCAAGCATGTTATGCATAACTGGAATGACGACAGCTGCGTGAAGATACTAAAGAAATGCAGAGAAGCTATCTCAAACGAGAAAGATGGAGTGAAGGGGAAGGTGATCATCATTGACATGGTTTTGGGCGCAGAGAAACACAATGAATTGGCAGACGCAACTGAAGTGAAGCTCGTGTTTGATGTTCTGATGATGATTCTTCTTACTGGGAAGGAACGAACTGAGAAGGAATGGGAAAAGCTGTTTATTGAGTCTGGGTTCACTCACTATAAGATAACTCCAGTTTTTGGCCTCAGGTCCCTCATTGAGGTGTTTCCTTAAATTACTACCCACTTTTTCATGTCTCCTATCCTAATACTGCCTTTAACAGAGTATGTTATTGTTAAGACTTAAAGAGAAGTGGCTCCACTTGTGAAAGATTATGACTAAAATAAACTGTCGGTCTGACAAATTAAAGTTTTCTCATGTTGATGAGCTTTTCTATGTGAACATTTCATTATCTGATCTTCATGAAAACGAATATTTGGCTGTTGAAGATGCATCTCCAGCCGTGTATGTTTAATGTTTGTGTATACATATAGAATGAGCTGAGATTGGAGGTAGGGATGATATCTCTTCATTTTTTAGAAGTTTGATGCATTCTAGGGAGTAGGGAGAGGGGTACTACTGCAGAGGTAGACCGCACAAGTAAAGGTAAAATTGGCAAAAATGTTAGTTTTTTTTTTTTCCTCTCATCTTTATGATCATTCAAACACCTCTGCATATGACGTCATCTGAGTTGCCCATATCATTTGGTTCTATTGCCAGCGTAATGGGCAATAATATTGCAAACCACCCCATATCAAAGCGAACTAACAGAAATTGTTAGAGATTAGCAAGAACAAAAAACAATAATAATGACAGAAACAAATAACAAATGAGAGGTTGGCAAAAACGAATGCCATGCATGTTGTTACTGCAGGACAAGCGCACGCTACCTCTGTGGCTAGTACGTCACGTAGACAACAGAAAAGCAACCAGGCGGCAGCAGGGGAAACACATACTGTAACACCCCTAAATTCTGAGATGTTTAAAACTTGTAAAATAAAGACAAATCCATTGATTGAATCCCAAACAAAGTAAAAAGCTAATCATAAGTGTCGGGGTGCTATGCCACACCTAGGTTTGAGAACCTAGGTGCACAGGCTAAGCTATCTAAGCATAATAAATCCCTAATTCAATATTTAAATACAACCCCCAAGGCACGCAGACCTACTTCTGAGCTAAGGCTAATTAGCTAAGTCCCAGGCTCTGACTAGCGCCCTCCAAAGCTAATGCTCATTACCTGAAAAACATTCGGTATAACAACCGTCAGCGAATAATGCTAGTAACCCACTCCAACGCGTTAAGTATAATATAGGTAGATATAAGAAATTCATTTTGAAACTGGAATACATATATACTTACGAGACTCTAGTTTTAATCCAAGATCAAGACTCAAGCCATATTAACAGACTCAATATCATAGAATAATCATGAGAACTAATAGGCACCCTATGTAACACCCCATGTTACGGCCTTCAATCCCGAATTAATTATTTAATTAAATTCCGCTAATAATAATTAGAAATGATTTAATTTGGTTAGGATTCCCTTTAATTAATTAATGTGGTCCACCACGATCTTGGACCCTTGCCTAAACTAGAGTTTTAAGCCTATTAGGAATAAAGAGAGTGGACATTCCACTATTCAGATTCTAATTAGGAATCCCAGACCTATTAGGAATAAAGATAGTAGGCCTTTACTACTCAGATTCTAATTAGGGATCCTAGAGCTATATACCTGTTAGGAATAGAATGTAGGTCTTTACTATTCAGACTCTTATTAGGATTCCTAACTCTATAAATAGGGGATTACAGAGCAATTAGAACCCTTACCACCCATAGTTATATTACACGAAATTATTCCTAGGGGATTCCCCACCACCAAGCCTAGGGAGATCAAACGGATGGAAATCTTAGAGAAAACCTTAATAGCCAAGGGAGGATTAATTAAGGCTAAGAGGTAACCCATGCCTCAACAAAACCTATTTTCCTTGCTATATCTTATTCATTGGCTCCTTTGATATATGATTTTGTGCTTGAGTCTTGATAGAGCTTTGCCTAGGGTTTATATTGTGTTTATGTGATAATCTTGGTGTTTATGTGATAATCTTGATGTTTATGTGATAATCTTGATGTTCTTGATACTATGATTTATTATATGAACGATCTTGTATTTTGATTATGTCTAGAGCCCTAGGGTTATAACGTGGATTTCGTATTATGTTATTCTTGGTATGATTGGGTGGGATCTTGCATGATCGGGTTCTGAGTCTAGCTTAGGACTTGTGTTTAGGATTTTGCATATAGATTTCTTGACGTTCTTGTGATTCCAGATGTCCCTGGATCGTTATGTGATTTGTGTTGAGTCTTGGCATGTTTAGGAATCGTGTTAGGGTGTATTTGGTGTGATTCTTGGTTTAATTCCGTTATTTGAATACGTGGTGTTGTCGTTATATGTTTAATGTGTTTGGACATGGTTCCGGGTTCCACGAGGGATCCCAGGACCATAAAGTTGCCTGTGTATCAGTGGAGGGTCGGTGGGGGGACTGACCACCTGCCACCTACCCGCTGCCTGCAATACTGTTCCAGTGGGCAGCCGGCGGGCGGTGGTCTGCCCGCCACCTACCCGCTGGAATCCTGGCGTGGTTCGTGGTGTTTTTCCCTGTTTGATATTTCCCCGTGTCCCGTTGTACCCCGTTTGTTGTGTATGAGTCTTATTGGGTGTTTTAGGCATCGTTCTAGGATTTTATGTCCGATGCGTGTCGTTGTTGTTGTGTCTTGCTTGATTATGTGTTTATGTGTTGATTGATTGATGATGATGAGTATTGTGGTCATTACTCAATGGCCAGTGTAACTGATAATGATGATGATAATGATATTGATGAGATTGTGATTGGTGGAAAATAAACTGTTGGCGGTTGGCACCACTTGTGCCCGGTCATTGTACTAAAGGTACATGCTATAGCGGTGACTGTGCTAAAGGCACACACCCACCTTCAACTAGCTTGCAGTTGAGCATGGGTCAGATTATAAGTGCTGCGGTGTCATGTTAGAGCTATATGCGCTAACCCCTTGATATTGGCACTAGAGGTGCATATCATTGAATGGCATTGCGGCACCATCTTGATATGTTGGTGGTTGAAAGGTGGGTTCGTCTGTGGGGGCATGTAGTTGCCCGGAGGCATAAGGGGTGGGGATTTAAGGGTGGCCTGGAGGTATAGGTTGGAACTGATATAAGGACGGAAGGGAGTTATACGGTTGGAACTTAATATAAGGTTGGAGGATGAATTGTGTGCTTTGTTGACTACTTGCTAATTGATTGTATTGAATGCCTTAGTTATTTGCATGATTATCTGCATGTTATTGTCTTGCATTGCATGTTTAGGACGCATATTAGTTCTTATGATTATTCTATGATATTGAGTCTGTTAATATGCCTTGAGTCTTGATCTTGGATTTAAACTAGAGTCTCATAAGTATATATGTATTCCAGTTTCAAAATGAGTTTCTTATATCTACCTATATTGTACCTAACGCGTTGGAGTGGGTTACCAGCATTATTCGCTGACGGTTGTTATACCGAATGTTTTTCAGGGACAGTGAGTAGCTTCGGAGCGCGCTAGTGGATTCGTGGACTTAGTTTAGATAGTTCTAGCCTGGATGAGATGGCCTGTGTGCCTTGATTTGTATTTGGGTATTAGTTATGGTTTATGCTTTGATAGTTAGATTAGCCTGTGCATCTGAGTTCTCCAACTCAGATGTGACATAGCACACCGACTACTATGTCTAGTTTATGCTCTGTTTGGGAATTAATAAGAGATTAGCCTTTATTTTATGAGTTTTAAATATCTTGAGCCTAAGTTCGACCCTAGGACAATGCCTTTAGGATAAGACTTTAAAGACGTTAAGCTTGAATTCTAAGTGTTTGAGGTCTTTAGGAAAGGACTTTAGGACATTACGCTTGAACTCTAGGTGTTAAGTACTTAGGGTATAGGAATCTTAGGACGCGCAGTGAGACTGTGAGTTTATCTATCATTGTCTTCTTAACTTCTCCTTACTCTATTCTGTGCTTAGCTTAAGAGTCCCCCATAATTATCGCATCAAGGTAGGGATGCAAACCCCTAACTTACCATTACGATCGATGTTGATCCTGTAAACACCGGAATTACGCCAACGAGGAACCAGTCGAGAATCCCAGAGCCTCCTACCCCCGGCTCGTTAACCCAGAACCCTCAACGAGGCTTACGCTAACACCGCCGACCTTCACCGAATCCAACTTCTACAACGGGGAGTTCAAGAACAGATCCGGAGAAGGAGTAACGAAAGTGGGAGACCACCTGTAAAGAGAACTAGAACGCCAATTAAATACAAGGAAGTGAAGTAACGCATGAACAGCGTCTTTGCTCTTAGAGAGGCAAAGAGAAATGCTACAAATGAAAGCAAAGCTAACAACAAAAAATAAGCAAAGCATGAATTAACTTTATTGCAGCACATTAAATTCTAATAGAACTCTCTAATAAACCAAAGCTTAAAATGAAGAAATCTAAACCTTTAAAGTATTGAAATCACAAGATGAAATCTAGAATTAACCATTTTCTTTTCTTAAAACTAAATAGTAAAATTATTCATGCACATTCCTTCATACAAATATTAAATAAATACAAAAATCATTAATATTTTAGAAGAATTCTTAGATTCTTAGATTATATTCTATAAATCGGACCAAGTATAATGTCTTAGTCATGACACGATTACACAAATAATAAAATAGTGGCACCTATCCAACTTGCTAAAATAACTTAGAGAGGATATCTAGGTAAAATGTAAAAAAGACATCCAAGACATTGTAAAGCAGTGTTAAATGTACTTGCTAGTTAGGGATTACATCTCTGGCAACTCAAGAAGTATGAGATGTGCATATGAAAAAGATCATTAGGCAAGTGAATATCTGTTCTGATTTCAACCATATTCAACAAGAAAGCCTCAAATTGGTTAAATATTAAATAAATATTTTCTCATAATTATTCATGTTTTTTATTTTTCAAATTAATTCTTGTTTTATTCAATATTATTTATTCTTTTACTCATCTTTCTGCCTTGTATTTGTCCACATTTGTACTCACCTTCCCATCTTTTAAAAATCCAGTTCCAAAGCTTGTATAAAATAAGGGTTGTACTCAACTTAGTGATTTTTTACTGCGAATCAGAAAAATTATCCCAACCCATTCTCAGAATATGAAGGGGATAGTTATGGAGATGGAGTATCTTGGCTTTATATTTTATATTTAAAAATTTTAGAACATTAAAGCACTACTATGAGGTTCTTAAAAGAATAGAAGGAAGATATGCATACAGTAAACACATGTAAGCTAAGAAAGA